ACATGTCCCACAATGCATCTCGTTTTGTGACATGCGCACTGAAGAGACTTCTGCTTTCAGCCGTAGTTAATTACTAAGTTATTATCCTCTCCGATAATAATCCAATTCAAAGGCAATAATGTAATATAATACATTATTTTATATATATATATATTATATATTTATTTATATAGTTACAACCGGCCCTTTGAGTGCAACCTTTATGCGAATGTGGCCCGCGATGAAATTGAGTTTGACACCCCCGACTTACAGGATACATTTTTTTTTTCTTTTCGTACATTCTATATAACTGCACTAAGAAGCCAAAATCCTGTCAGACCTTTGACAACACACACACACACACACACACACACACACACACACACACACACACACACACACACACACACACACACACACACACACACACACACACACACACACACACACACACACACACACACACACACACACACACACACACACATACACCCAAACACACATACAACCATCGGACCTTTGAATAGATCTATATGGTCCAGGCTCTTCTCCTCTCAGGCCTTGACTACTGTAACTCCCTCCTTGCTGGTCTACCCGTAAATGCCATCCAACACCTCAACAAAGATACGCCTTTTTTGCTATCCAGGATCCCAAATGGTGGAAAAAGCTTCCCACTGATATCAGGACAGTGGAGAGTCTACATATCTTCCGTCGCAAACTGAAAGTCCACCTGTTTTGCTTATATCTTGGCAAATAAACAAAACAAAAAAACGCACTTATGAGTTTTACTTATGCACCAGCACTGTAAATTGTACTTAAGTATAGTACTTGATTTTATTCGTTTTGCATTTCCATCATCACATTAGCCTAAAATGATTTGTTCCAAAAAATATATATTTTATTTATTTTACGTAAAATAATAAAGCAATGTTAATTGATGTTTCCAATTTGTTTAGTTTTTCCTCTTAAAAATAACAAAAAGGACCGATAAAAATACCGTTAAAGTATAAAAGCAGGATCGGTACGAGTAGAAGACGAAAATTGCCTCTCTGTATCCGCTCATGCACACAAGCAGGGTTCAATGCATTCTGTCAAACAGTCTTTTTACAAATACCCAACATTATGCGGTGCTGTCAAAGATTGGGCGGCGTCGAATAATCGATTAATATTCGCCAGGGCTTTTCGATTTTCGAATTTGATCATGGTCAGTTTCTGGCATCCCTAACCCTGACACATATTCTGCTGTGCAAGCAATGACGTCAATCAGACAACATTCATAATCAATAAGTCTTTATGAAAACCCGTTATCATGCGAATCACAGCAATCTAGGGTTTTTAAATGTTTTCCGTCATCTCCAGCAAATTCTTGTCCAAAGGACTACTCTTAATTTCTTATCTAAATTATCACACAGCTTAAAGTCCCTTGAACGCTAGTAAACCTTCATTCAGTATGACAGCAGGGAAAGATGCACAAAGAAGCAGAAAATAGCCAAGAAGGTAACAGATAAAAGAAGTACAGATGAAAGAGGAATACTGTATCTTTCAAACATACACAGCTGCTCTCAGCAAATGTTAGGGGCTGACCTGTGCATGTGTTGACATTTAGAATGATAGTTTCAGAAATGTTCTGGCGTTTGATAAGATAAAATCCCCAAGAAGTGATTATCATATCTGACTGTATGACGTACAATCGTAATTGGAAATGGGAATTTCTTTGAAAACTACCTAAAGTGTATTTATGCAGACAGCACTCAAATGATAACTTATGTGTGTCACGGTGTCTCACCTCCAGCCATCACGCTGCAGGTAGCTGAAGGCACCGTCGACGAGGCTGGCGGTGAACTGTCCAGCGGTGATGAAGAGGGTGTTAACTGTCACCAGCTGACCCCTGAGGTGGGGTGGAGAGGCCTCAGCGATGTACACTGGCACTGTCATAGAGGCAATACCTACACAGCAGGGGGGAGAGAAGATAAGTGACGTTTAGCAGGAGGTCATGCTCTTTAGATATACAGTCTATGGTTCTGCTAAGCAAGCTGAGTCACAGATTGTACCCTGTACAGCACATGTATGCTTTTGTTTTCAATGGAAATACAGGATAACTGATGAAAAAGGACTTAGTTTTATAAAACATTTTTTACCAACTTACCATAAATGAACACATTGAGGCACTTTTATAAGCTAAATGATGACGAAAATCTGTGAAATAAGTGCTATTTGGACTCTGGAGGAGCTATGACCGAGGATACACTGATGCATCCTCCACGGCTCCTCCACGGATGCATTTCTGGGAACGGTGCGGGATTGACGCACGGCCGGATTTATCTCAGCCAATGACAGCTCTGCATGCATCCCCTGGATATTATTTTAGTAACTGCTTTCATCGCGACGCGATGTTTACAGTGAGAACAGCTGTGAGGTCCGTGCAGAAAGCAGAGCAGTGTGTAAAATATATATCACTCAGTATAACAGGCCTACATTACTCTCTGTATTTTTATGCTGTAGTTTAGTAGATATCTACAAACAAAGAGTCGATATGTTTCTAAGACCATTTAGTGCTTCACATAATAAAATACACCTGATTATGCTTTAGGAGCTGTAGGTGTGTGTGGTACAGTGTGTAGGTGTGTGTGTGTGTGGTACAGTGTGAGGTGCGTGTTGTACAGTGCGTAGATGCGGCGGACAGACGGGTCTCAGTTGGTTTGGTTTCCTCTGCTTACTTTTAATACGTGTAAATACAACTTTTGGCCCGTAATTTCAATTCCCCATTTCAGCGACCAGAGAGAGGGGGGGATAAATCCAGTCTCTAATTGTGTTACGTTATTATGAGAGTGCTCTCATACTTGTTTGATTCTGAAATTGTATATAGTTTATATAAATATATTTGTGTGTGTGTGTCCGCATCTGTAGCCTGTTATTGTCTCATTATACCGCACTGTGATTGAATTCAAGTAAATATATAACTCGTCATGAACACATCTGTCCATCAGACAGAGGGCTGCTGTGACTCCTGTCATCATTAATGGACGTCTCTTTAAAATGACCGCTCAGAGGAGAGGAGTTCTCATTTCTCTAACCGCCTGCTGCTTCCCATCCTCTCTCTTCGGTTCCCCTCCTCAGTCCTCCACTCGCTCCTGTGGGCGGGACTAAGTCTCGAGGATAGGAGTCGAGGATAGGAGAATTCTCATTTGAGAATTGAGAAGCCTCTATTGTGTTTGTCAGTGAGCTTGTTTGCAATCCAAACTCCGTCTACAAAACAAAACATTGGTAGTTTCCGGCCTTTTGTTTCTGAAACAGTTTGAAATATTGCGGGGAGTAATTGAGAAAGAAGCAGGTGTCAGACGAGGAGCTGCTCCATCTTCTCAGCGAGGTAAACAACTACTCTTACTTTTGTTAATTGCACTTTGAACAAAGACTTCTTTATTAAAAACAACAACGTTTGTTTTGCAGTCCCCACATGTCTAATATTACTCTGCAGTTGCTGTTACCACTAACCGCCATTAATTAAGGTGTCGCCATATCAACCGAAAAACGACCCTAAAACACCCAAAAGCAGATTCGCACAGTACTAATATTATCTTAATATATGAAGTCATTCGCATATCTAATTTGCAACCATTACTTACTACTGGAAGTCCCCCAGGTAAACAGTTTGTTTTAAGGTCAGTGTGCTAGCATGCTAACATTGACTAATTAGCAACAAAAACAGACAAACAGCAGATGCTCATTAGATTTCTCTGGTTTTTGATCATAAAACCAGACTATGAAGACTGTTCCCATATGTTGCTAGATGAAAAAGACAAGAAATCACCACTGATGAAGTAAACATGAATTGCTGTTTAGTTTACAGGCATAAACTCCAACAACGTTCAGCAAAAAGCTACACTAAGTATTGTGTATTAAGATGGGTTAATAGCTACTTTGTAATTGTATAAAACATTATCCAATCACAAATCACAAAGTGTGAATTTTGCATCTTCATTATTTATTTTTGATAATCTCTGTTATCTATAGTGATGTACTTTTTTGAAATACTTTTGACAGGGCTGCCAACAGTCACGCATTGAGCGTGAGAGTCACGCAATTAACCCATATCTCATGCACTCATGCCACACATGCCTTTCCTCACGCTAAGTTTTTGTCCAAAATAAATGTATATAAATATAAAAATAAAGTGAAGGAACAGCAAACCGAGCGGTCTACGAAATGAGACAGTCTTCTGGGTTAGTTCAGTAAAGTTGGAACGATATTGGGAGATTCTGATTTCACGGATCAATAACTCATGAACAAAACGTTATTCAGACAGAAATGAAGTCTCCTAAGTACCGTGGTAAGGTTGTAATCACTATTAATTATTGGCAAGAAAAATCTACAAGAGATTGTACAGTGCAATCAGAGAGATACAGTATGTCCACGTTTTTGAGCAAGTCCACGAATCCAGTCTTTGTCAAGTCTGTCACCACCTTCGCGCAGCTGCTGGCGCCACTTCGTCCGGTCCTCCGCCAGCCTCTCCCAGTTATCCGTCGCAATGTCCAGGGCCTTCATGTCACGTTTTACGACATCCTTGAAGCGCAGCAGTGGTCGTCCTCTGCCTCTGGAACCAGCGCTCAGCTCGCTGTATAAGATGTCCTTTGGCAGGCGGCCATCTGGCATTCTGCGAAGGTGACCAAGCCACCGCAGCCTCCTGACCTTCAGTGTTTGGAACATTGACTTGCTGCCCGTACGCGCCAGCACCGCCTCGTTCGTGACCTTGTTCCCGCCATGCGGCGCCAGCACCCGGCCTCCGTTCGTGACCTTTGTCCGCCCCGCCATGTGATCCCGAGGAGTTGCGCAGGTCACCACGGGCATGTGAAAAGCATTTAGCTCTCTTTCGTGCGCGGCGCGTAAGTTGACGCCACGCCTCCCCGGAACCAATACAGCAGGAACGGCTGACCACGCAACATTGGTAAGAATTGGCGTGTCTTTAGTTGCGGCTCGGTGAGGTATTTTGTTGCTCCCCCAAGGCTCTTGAGCGCAAACGACTGAAAAGACGTTGCGGCTTTGCCCGATACGAGTCTGGATCCCTTAAAAAGACAGGTCACTGCTGATCTGTGAGCCAAGATACTTGAAGCTGCAACCCAGTCCCAGCCATGCTCGTTCACCCATATACCGGACTGCTGCGGCTTTCCTGGCTTGGTGGCATAACAATTGTCTTTTTTTGATGTTGATGTCAGGCAAATTGCAGATCATACTGGCACTGAATCTGTCCAATCAGGGCGATGTAGGACCAGCTGCACTGTGAGACACCAGAGCCTGCGTCGTGCGCGCGAATAAAGAGACTCACTGAAACTAGCAAGCCTCCCGTACGCTTCTTTTCGGCGCAGCTAGCCGGGCAAGATTAAACAGGCTTCCCATCGTGACCCCGCGTGTGCATGGAAAACGCCGTCTTCGTCCACCGTGATCCTGAATGCACTGATGCGCAACAACAGAGAAGAAGATTGCCCGAAGAGCAGGGCCCGCTAGCACGGCAGCCTTGTTTGACTCACTGCGAACGGAGAAGCTGTCTGAAAGTTATGATCCCTTCAAAGAAAACTGTTGCTGACATGCCTCGTGAAGCGGCGATTTGACCCGGCAGGCCCTAGCAGTGTCGTGGGCAGCCGACGTTTTAGCAAGATGGCCGAACAGTGCCTTCCCGACTCACCATGTCGATACGCCTTCGTCAGGTCGATCAAACGGCCATGTGCAGTGGTTTGTTTTGGCCTCTCTGGCAGCTTTCTGCAACCCTGGCCGGGCATCCGGAAACCATGTCTGTTGGTGATCGGCCCACTTCGAAACGCGCGGCACTGGTGACTCTGGGTATACGCGACGGGCCCAGTTCTGGAGCCGCGGCTACCAAGCCAGAATCCTGGAGAAGACCTGCCAAGTACGCCAGTAGGGGCGAAATGCCACGGTAACTTGTTACAGTCCGCCTTTATCGCGCTTTGTTCTGTAAAGCGTGATTATCTTGGGCCGTCCGCTTGCATTCCGACTGGGAAAAGAGCCCCGCTTGCCAGCATTGGCAGAGCAGCCTTGTGGGCATGTGGCGGAAGTAAGCCAGGCTGTCAGCATTTGAGGAGATCAGGCCGGGATGCCGTCCGTCGGCGCGCAGCTTTGCCCTCAGGGCAGTGTGGGCTTCAGCCGTTCACTAGGCTTCCATGGTTGGCAAGTTGTCCGCAGCTCAGCATTGATCGTCAAAGCTGGGTTTGAGGCCAAGCCACGTGGCTGATGCCCTTGGTTTGCCTAGAGCTCTGAGTAGGGCTCACCCCATCGTGACATCTGTGCCCCTGTGTCAGTGATCAGTACTCCCTTCCATGCAGACTGTCAGGGCGGGACAACCTTCTTGCTCCCCGCCCAATAGCCTGTTCAGGCCCTGTACAGTTCCCGGCAGTTACCAGTGTCTGAAGGGCCCTGTTGGAGTCATCCGCAAGATCTTGTTTCCAGTACTGTTAGCAAGCGGATCGAGCTGTCCCTCCATGAAGTTCAGCGCTGCGCATCCTTGAGTGCAGTGAGAGAAACTCCGTGTTGCCGCGTTGCTGTAAGACTTTGTGGCGGCCTTGTGCAGAGAACAACGGCAGAGAACAACGGTTCCAGGCCNTAGCTAAGCTAACTATGAAACACTAACTGACAGGACTCAGGATCAACTGTGTACTGTAAGGTAGCTTCTAGCTTCATGTCGAACATAGTCAACATTTCCCAGAGAGATTTCTTTGAAATCAAGAGGTAACGCTAAAAAACTTAACATTTAGATTGTATGACAAAGTGTTTATTTAATATACCTGGCTAGCTATAGCTACTTGCTAACGGTTTAGCTTACCCCCGCGATTCAAAGTAACGTCAACGTAGCTGTAATTTATCAGGGCTGCCAACACTCAGGCATTGAGCTTGAGAGTCACGCAATTAACCCATATCTCACGCACTCACGCCACACTTG